CGTCCGGTTGGGCACGAATCCATGGTGGTTGACGCATGTTCCTATATGTTGTCCTTCTCATGTGGTTCCAATCCTATGCGTTTTACATATGTTACACCTGGTTCTCAAGGAAGCCCCAAGAGGCCTCAGGAAGCTCCAGGAAGCTCAAGGAGGAACAGCCCCCAATATGAACCAGGAGGCCCCAGGAGTCCCCAAGAGGCCACAGGAGGCTCCAGGAAGGCCAAGGAGGCCCCAGGAGGCCCCAGAAGGTCCCAGGAGACATCAGGAAGCCACAGGAAGCCCCAAGAGGTACCAGGAGGCTCCAAGAGGCCCGAGGAAGCCCCAGGGAACGCCAGGAAGGACGCAGGAGGTCTCAGGAGGCTCAGTCTCCAGGAAGCGCCAGGAAGGCTCGAGGCAGCTCCAAGAGGCCTTGGGAAGCCCCAGGAAGCTCAAGGAGGAGCAGTCCCCAATATGCCCCAGGAGGCCCCAGGAGTCCCCAAGAGGCCCCAGGAGGCTCGAAGGCCAAGGAGGCCCCAGGAGGTCCCAGGAGACATCGAGAAACCACAGGAAGCCCCAAGAGGTAGCAGGAGACTCCAAGAGGCCAGATGAAGCCCCAGGAAACGCCAGGAAGGACCCAGGAGGTCTCAGGAGGCTCAGTCTCCAGGAAGCGCCAGGAAGGCTCGAGGCAGCTCCAAGAGGCCTCGGGAAGCCCCAGAAGGCTCAAGGAGGAGCAGTCTCCAATATGCCCGAGGAGGCCTCAGGAGTCCCCAAGAGGCCCCGGGAGGCTCCAGGAGGCCGCAGGAGGCCCCAGGAGTTCCAAGAGGCTCCAGGAAGCCCCAGGAAGCCCCAAGAGGCCCCAGGAGGCCCCAGGAGCCTCAGGAGACTTGAGGAAGCCCCAGGAAGCCCCAAGAGACCCCAGGAGGATTCAGTCACGCTCAATCATGTTCAGGCCACTGACGTGCAGATACTCTCACCCGAAGCTTAGCCATGCGCAGGCTCACGCGCATAGACTCAATCGCGCTAGTGGGGCTCATACACACTCAAAGTCATTCACAGTTAGACTCTCTCCCAGACTGTCAATATCCAAGCTCGTGTATATTCGAAGTTTCTTGCGCCTAGACATTCACGGCGGAAATGCCAATTTAAAGAGATGCACATATGAGGAGCTCCACGCAGTGAATAATTTTGGTGGCCAGATTCGTGGGCACATCTTCCCCCCAGGATGCTACAGGAGACTCCAGCAGGCTCCAGGAGTCCCCAGGAGGCCACATGAGGTCCCAGGAGGCATCAGGAGGCCGCAGGAAGACTCGCCCCAGGCGGCCACAGGAAGCGCCATGAGGTCCCAGAAGGCAACAGGAGGCCCCGAGAGGCCCCAGGAGCAGGAGACCTCAGAAGGCAACAGGGGTGGCTCCAATCCCATGTGTTTTAAGTATGCTCCTATATATTGGGCCTCACCTGGAGCACGAATCCTTGATGTCATACGTATGTGTATGTATAGTGTTTCTCCTGCGTATGCAATCCTCAATGTTCTACGTATGTTCCTATACATTGGGCCTCCCCTGGGGCACGAGTCCTCAGTGTTTCACAGTGTTCCTATAGATTGCCCTTCTCCTGCGGCTCCAATCCGCAATGTTTTATGTACGTCTGTTCCTATAGATTGGGCCTCTCCTGGGGCACGGATCCTCCCTAGGTGGTCCCAGGAGGCTCCAGGAGGCCCCAGGAGGCCACGCGAGGCTCCAGGAGCCCTCAGGAGGCCACTGGAAGCCCCAAGAGGCCCCAGGAGGCCCCAAAAGGCTCCTTGAGGCCCCAGGAAGCCCCAGGAGGTTTCAGGAGGCCCCAGGAGGCCCCAGGCTCATGCGCAGAGACGCGCTCGTACTACTGAGACGCAGTCACACTCCAAATCATTCGCAGTTATATTCATAACCAGAACGTTACAACGCAAGCCCGCTTATATTCGAAAACTCTTGCGCCTAGACGCTCACGGCGGACAGGTCCATGCGAATAGATGCACAACTCCACGCAGTGAATAATTCTCTGCCCGCGCCGGACCCCTCATCATCATCCCCCCCCTCCCTCCGCCCTCTCTGCACTAGAGGGTGATGATGAGTGTCATGATGATGACCATGGTATGATGAGGGTATGGTGTGAGTACGATGGTGGTGGTGACTGGTGGACGAGTGTGATGATGATGATGATGATGATGATGATGATGATGATGATGATGATGATGATGATGATGATGATGACGATGACGATGACGATGACGATGAGCAGATGATGAGGATGTACCGAGCAGCTTGCTGGTTTTAGCACTCCTCAGGGGGGGCGCCAGGGGGTATCTCACGGACTCCGTTCGTTCCCAGATTGCGGAGATGTCTCAGGCGGTTTGCCTGTTTTGGTCGCGATCATCCTTCGTTTTCGAAGCAGAATTGGAGGATGTCTCGTGCGAGGCGCCTCCTAAGGGGGGGCCGCCAGGGGTATTGCACAGCCTCCGTTCGCAACCAGCGTGCGGGGATGTCTCAGGCGGTTTGCCTGTACTGGTCGCGAACATCCTTCGTTTTCGGAGCAGATTTGGAGGGCGAGGCGCTCAGTTTCGCCCCCCAGGGGGGCCAGATTTTGAGGATGTCTCAAGCGGTTTGCGTGTGTTGGTGGCCAGACTCGTCTGCGCTCAGAGCAAATTCTGAAGACAAATTGCTTCGCGTATCCTCACCAGCGCTTAGGCAGTTCAGGTTCGGCCGTCGGTCCCCGTGCGCTAGGCAATTAGGGTCGCGCGTAGCCCACCCGACCTCTTCGGACGCCGCCTGCGCTTCCGCTTGCGCCCGCGAAAAAAATCCTCACCAGCTCATCCAGAAACGATGTCCAGAGGAGTTGCCTCGATCAGGGAAGTGTGCAGCACGCAGAGGAAGGGTCCCCTAGTGGCGGCTTCTTGGAGCGTCGTGGGGGCCTCTTGGCGGTCCTGGCAGTGACGCCGACGCGGACGCCGACGCCGACGCCGACGCCGATGCCGATGCCGACGACGACGCCGACGACGACGACGACGCCGACGACGACGACGACGACGACGGCGGGGACGACGACGGCGGGGACGACGGGAACGACGGGGCCGACGGGGACGACGGGGGCATCGAAAGCGGCGGCGACGTTCGACGTCATCCGGAGTTCTCTGGAAGTCCCCCGCGGCCCCCTCCACGCCGACGACGGCGGCTCCCCCGGCTCCTCGCCTGCGAACCCCTGGGAGTCCATCAGCTCCAGCAGCATCGCCCTGGAGTAGTTGTTTGGAAGAAACGCCGTGCGCCCCACGGGGCACATACCAGGCATGCGGGGGAGCGGCTGAGGAGGAGGAGCAGGAGGAGGAGGACATCCTGTTGATCCTGCAACTCCCCACCCCCTTCTCATCCTCCTCATCCGTCCTATTGTTTTGGCCTGCTCCGTCCTCCTCCTCCTCCTCCTCCTCCTCCTCCTCATCCTCATCCTCCGGGTGGGTCCTCCTCCTGCTCCATCTCCGTTCTCCTCCTCCAGCTCCTCCGCCTCCTCCGTCCTCCCCATCTCCCCCTCTTCACCCCCCCTATGAACGCTTCAACGAGGAGCAGGTCTGTCAGCGACCAGAGCTCTCGCATTCTCATCTTCCTCCTCCTCCTCCTCCTCCTCCTCCTCCTCCTCCTCCTCCTCCAGCTCCAAATCCGCCCACTCCTCCTCTTCTCCTCCTCCTCCTCCTCCTCCTCCTCGTCATCATCATCATCATCATCATCATCATCATCATCATCATCATCATCATCATCATCATCATCATGTCCTCCTCCTCCTCCTCCTCCTCTTCCTCCTCCTCCTCTTCCTCATTCTCCTCCCAGACAGAGGAAGGAGGAGGGGGAGGAGGAGCAGGATGGGAGTGGGGAAGACGATGAGGTGGTGGGGAATGATTATGATGATGACGAGGAGGAGGATGCTGGAGGGAGGAGGTGCAACATGAAAGAAAGAGTAGGGAGGAGGTGAACTGGCCAGAATACGGATGATGATGAGGAGGAGCGGGAAGGAGGACTGCCCAGGACCCGTGGCGCGGAACAGAGCTTACAGGCAAAAGAGAGGACGAGGAGGAGGAGAGGAGGGCAGAGAGCAATTAGGAGACGAGAGAGGAGGAGAATCTCTCCTCCAGCCATAACCACCTCCTCTGCATCCTTCCTGTCATTCGTCTTTCTCCTCTTCCTCAGCCATTTCATCCTCCGCCTCCTCCTCCTCTTCCTCCTCACCACCACCACCACCACCATCATCATCATCATCATCATCATCATCATCATCATCATCCTCATCATCATCATCATCATCACCACCACCACCATCATCATCATCATCATCATCAGCATCATCATCATCATCGTCGTCGTCGCCGTCGTCGTCGTCGTCATCATCATCATCATCATCATCATCATCCTCATCCTCATCCTCATCCTCATCCTCATCAGCATCATGGTCATCAGCATCATCATCATCAGCCTCATCATCACCATCATCATCACCATCACCACCAGCACCACCAGCACCACCATCATCATCATCATCATCATCATCATCATCATCATCATGATCATCATCCCCCCGGGCTTCGTTTTCCAGCCAGACGGCGTAGCACGAGTCGACGACCTTTGCGAAACGGAGCGAGCGAGGCCAGACCATTCGGGAGCCGAGCACGCACACCTCCCCTTCAAAAGCAACTAACGAGGGAGAAACCAGAAATTGAAAGAAAAACAGGGCGGCGGTTGGGGTAGAGGGGGGTGAAGCTAGAGCCAAGATGGGACGGAAGACGCAAGGATGCTGCCACGGCTGTCCCACTCCGCTCTCAAGGATTTCCGTACAAATACAAGGCATCCCCCCGGGCTTCGTTTTCCAGCCAGACGGCGTAGCACGAGTCGACGACCTTTGCGAAACGGAGCGAGCGAGGCCAGACCATTCGGGGGCCGAGCACGCACACCTCCCAAACCTGTCGGACCTCCAGGCCCACCCGATCAGCAATCTGGCCCCGACGGGGCCGCAAACACCTTCTTGTTGAACAACTCGGCTCTAGACGAGGCCCACGCATTGTAGTAGATAGAAGCCAGGGCTCTACAAAGTCCAGGAGGATAAGGCTCGGCGATCTTGGACCAGAAGACACCCTTGTCGTTTTTCCCTTGGATGGGGATGTGCGGCTGGCCGGAGCGCTTGCACAGGACACGCTTGGCGCCGAGACAGCGAGCCTCGGCGAGGGCGTCCATGCACAGCCCCGCGCTGAGGAAGCCGGTCGACTTTCTCCACTGGGCGCCCCACATGCAGAAATCGGTGACAGTGAAATTGATCTTGTTGGATTTCTGAAATCTCAGCATGGCGGGGCAGATCCAGATGCGGCTCCGGGCGGGGTTCTCCAGAGTAGCTGGTATTCCCAAAAGCATAGCATCCCGCATCACCGCCACGGAGAAAAACATTAACAAGTTGCCGACGCGAACCTTGTCGGCGTCGGCGGGGCTCAGGTCGTCGAGGCCCATGGGAGACGAGTTTGACCTTAACGGTGGAGGGCCTGGGGGCACATCGCGTGCCCGCGAAAATGAGGAGCATGGCGTTCCCAAGTGGACGCCGATCACGATGCCTGAGCGGATCCATCCTCTGATGAGGCTGCGGTTCCGGGACAGACGAAGATCGTAATCGGCACCCAGCTCCACATCCCAGAGAAGAACGTTCACGCCCTCCCTCGCGACTGCTTGGCCGAGCCGGCCTGACCCCGAGAAGACCTCGAGGAAGAAGCGGACCTGAGGCCGGGGGCCGCCGGACAAGGCCGGCCGCGGACGATGGAGGCCATCGAGCGCTCGCAGGACAGCGCGTGGGCGCGGAGGTCGTCGGGCAGCTTGAGCAGCACCTGGCCGATGCGGCTGCCCTTCTCGTAGCGCCTGACCGAAGCCCACGACCGCCAGCGCCCGCGGCGCCTCACGTCCTCCAGGCTCCTGAAGCCCCCGGCGGAGTCGTGCGGGGCGCCGCCGTGCCTGAGCTGGTGCAGGTGGACGTCGCCGAGGTACTCGTCCAGCTTGAGGCTCCGCACGACGCCGCACACCGCCGCCACCAGGTCCTTCAGGGCGAAGTCGAAGATCGGCGAGCGCGGGCTCCGGCCCTGACAGAGGGCCTTGAGCGCCGGGCCGAGAGGGGCATGCCGCTCCAGATCCAGGCGCATGGACTCGTCGAACTCGTTCGTCTTTGACGACCTCCCGACCTCCTGCGCGTGAAGCGTGATGGCCCAGCAGGGGGCGCTTGCCACGCCCGGCACTGGTGGTACGAGGTCCACCCCCCTCACGCTGAAGACCTCGCCTGGCCGAAGGTACAGCTCGAAGATCAGGATGATCGCGATCGCGCAGGGCAGCTTCCCCGATCTGACCAGCTCGTTGGCGATCAGGGCCACCACCTCGCGCGGCAGCGGCAGCCGCGACTGGGGAGGGCAGCAGCGCCTGAACCCCTGAAGGGCCCTCCGGCTCCTGGGCACGAGGGCCCCCGCGGACTTCTGGAGGCCCGTGAAGAACGTCACCGCCGCGAAGCCCCACTGGGCCGCGCCCAGGTTCTCGCCGCCCAGGTACAGCGCGTCCAGCCACCCCACGAGCTGCCGGTCGACGCCCGCCTCGGAGGTTGCCACCGGGACGGCGAGCCACGCCAGGAACTCGGCGAACAGCGACTGGTACTTCTGCCGCGTCCGAGGCCGAACCGAGGCGCTCTCCAGCACCGTGAGCCCCCCCACCGTGACGGCAGAGGCCCTCCGCCGGGCCGCGACGTCGGCCACCGTCTGGCGCTTCCTCTTGGGTGGAGGAGGGCGAGCAACGGCTGGCTGTCGGCGCGGCGGGCCGGGGCCCCGTGCAGACGTAGAGAGGTTCGCCGTCATGGCACCTCGGGTGGCCCCCCGCCTGACCAGCGGCGAGGCCAGCGAGGCCGCAGGCGCCGCCGGCGGCGCCATCCGCGCGCCGGTCGAGGTCGGTGCGGGTCTGGCCCGCGGGAGCATGTTTGGAGAAATCGAGCGGGCTCGGAGCAGCTGGAGCCCAGAGGCCACGAGAAGGAGAGTCCGCGACGTTCCACTCCGAGGGCAAACACCGATAATGCAAGGCGGAACCGGTTGCGAGCGAGAGGGCCGCGATCGCCTGGGCGACCCGCATCATGCTACGGCTGTCGCTCCGAAACCGCGCCACCGCCCCGGCCGTCGACTGCGAGTCCCCCAGGACCACCGCGTGCTTCCCAAGGTTCCGAGACGAACGAAGAAGATGACGAAACCCGTACAACGTGGCCCTGGCCTCGTACACGGCGATACTCTCCCCCTTGCGCCTCCACGGGAAGCGACCGACGACGGACCACTGCTGCTCGATCATGCCCCTCGGGACCTCTGGGAAGTCCACGACCCGCTTGACCCGACCGAACCCGAAGACGTCTCCGGGGCTGTCCAGGACACCTGAGCCCGCCGAGGGGGGCTGGGGGGGAGCGCACTCGGGCCCTGGGACGTCGTTGGCGGCGGCGATCCAGGGGGCAGCCTCGCGGGCCTCCCCCGACAGGGCCGCCGCCGCCTCGGCTTTACGAGCGTGGTCCAGCGCGTGGCGACGAGGTCCCATGGCAGCGCCGACCCGACCCCAGCGCCAACGCTCCGAGGTCCGACCGACGCTTCGGGCAAGAGAGGCCCCCACTCGCTAGCATCGACGGCCACCACCTCGTCGCTCCAGCCCGCCCGTAGGTCCCGCCAGAGGAGAGGAGCAAGCCCATCCCAGAGAGAGAGAGCTCGCGACGTACCGAAGCCCACAGACGCTCATCCTGGGTGTAATTCTTCCTGACGAAGGCATAGCACGACCAGAACAGCGATAACCCCTCCCGGCGGACCAGGGAGAGGAAGACAAGATGCCCCAGGAGGCGCTCCAGGTCACGCCCAGAGCACCGCCCCCTCCGGAGGACCGCCCGAATTGCCAGGCGGGCCCTCCAGAGGCGGACAGGGGTGGCAGCCAGCCACGCGGCCCCGGGACCCGTCGACCTGCCACCCCAAAACCTGGGCCACCTTGTCCTCCCCAGAATACTCCTCCTCATGAACGACGAGACCCCGCCCTTCAAGAGCACGAATAGCATCCGCAACCAGAGAGCGAACAGCACTGGCGTCAGTAGAAACGGCGATGAAGTTGTCCACATACTGCGAGTGGCACGCACGATGAAGGTCCGGCGTCACCTGCTTATCTACAATGCGATTCTCCGGGGAAGCTCCGGCTTGTTCCACAATACGTTCATGGACCGTTTGACACATCCACAGGGCCCAGCTCCAGCCCATCGGTATCACAGACAGTCGGGGGTAGACCATGGCTGACGGAGGAACGGGTTTCCCATTGACCCTAGCACACCCCACCGCCCCCGCCCGCGCAGCCCTGAAACAGAAAAACGGCCTCAAATCGGGAGGCAACTGCATATGATAAAAAGCGTCAGACAAATCGGCCCCGCCAACATGCAACTCCTCACCCTCACCGAGCTCCAGCCCTGCCAGGCCTTCGCCGGTGAGGAGGGAAACGGGGGCGGGGTCCTGGAAATCACAGTTGCTTCTACGACAGTCAACTACCAGCCGGAGCTTCCCATTTTTCTTGTGCGCGAAAAAGCCTCAACCCTTTCCTTGGCTGAGAAGCTGAAATCTACCATGCCTCGCTGCTGCAATGCACGGATGAACTCCTCAAAGGCCGCGACCCGACGCAGCTTCGGATCACTATACGGCACCGCAACCTGAGAATTTTTCAAACGAGTATCTACCTCACTAGACGGTAGCAATCGGCTTTGGACGAAGTCCCTAATCATGTCCGACCCGCCCGCGCCCCACAGATCCTCGAGCGGCACCGGTGCCGGCGAGCCAGAGGGGAGCGAGACGCTAGCGAGGTTGTAGGAACCGAGCACGGCAGAGTCCACATCATACCAGCTCGCCACGCGAAGCTTCCGGAGAGCTTCTGCGGGAGTAACCTCCGGCGGAGGCGGGCCGAGAGCGGCGACGGAGCCCCGAACTCTATCAAGACAGCGACGCTGGCCCAGCGAAACAAAAACTGCACGGTCGGCGCCCTGGCCGACGGGAGGCTGGTCCTGGTGAAGATAGAGCGAGTTCAAGGCGTGGACGGCGCGATCACAGTCCAACTCAAAACTCTCGCGCTTACCCAGGCGCTGTCGGACTGCACGGGAGAGCCCCCCGTCGGCACCCCGATATCGCTCCACCGCCGGCCGCGGTAAAGGCAAGATGTCGCGGGGCACCGCACGGGAGGGCTCGTCCCCGTAATTAAAAGCTTCGTAGGGCGGCGGCACACGGGGCCCGCGCGCCTCCCGGATGCCGGGAGCGCGAGGCGCAGAAGTACGCATGAGGGAGAGTAGCCCGGAGGACAGGAGGAGGGGGGCGAACAGAGTACAAGCGGCCAGCACTGCACCCTCAGAGCAGCGCGGGCCAACCTCAGATGTGGGTGTCGGCGGAGGCTCACGACTTGTCGCCCCCGCCCTTCTTGCGGGCGGCATCTCGCTCCTCGCGCCCCTTCCGAAGGGCCTTGTTGAGCTGCGCCTCCCGCTCCACGTCGATTCGAACCACGCCCAGGAGCTCCGGACAGATCATCAGCTGCCCCGAGCCCCGGCTGAGCCCCGAGAAGGCCTGCTGCTCCTCGAGGCTGAGACGGCCACTGTACCCTTTTGACTCGGCCTCCTTCGCCCGTTCGAGGTGGGCGAACTCAATGGTTTGCATCCTCCTCAGCAGCATCTCCACCATCACGAGGTTCGTGCCGTCGAGCTGGTCGACGAGGAGACCGGCCTTGACCGCCGCCGTGAGGTGGAGGTGCTCGGCCACACCCCATGCGTTGGGCTCCAGGCGGCACAGCGATCGAAACCGATCATGGTGAGCATCCAAGCTGCCGCCCTCCGAGTTGATATGCTCCAGGCACCACCCCGCCGTTCGGGCGCCACCGAGCGTCCAGTCCTTGCCGAAATCCTCCTTCGTCACGGCGGCACACATGTCCGCCCACGTACGCTCCCGTCGTCCCAGCCTGTTGCGGCGCACCGGGAGGATGCGGGCGTCGCTGGCCACGATGCGGTCGAAGAACTCCTGCTCGTCGCCCGGCCGCAAGTACTGCACGAAGAGGCCCGAGCCGTCCGCCAGCCGGTGGATGTCTTTGTCCCCGATGGCGCCTGCTCCGGCCTGGTGGGGCACGTCGTCCCCCACGCGGAAGCCGCCGAAGCACTCGGCGGCGACCCAGCGAGCAGCACCACGTCCGTCAGCCGCGCCAACAGCCACAACCCCCTGCAGGGGCCCGACAAGCGGCGGCACCCGCGCGGGCGCCGCGGCTCCGAG